CACCTTGAATCCCAGGTCAGTCCTCCCAGCATAGGCTTTGCTGACGTAGGTGGGAGGGCACAGGGGGGTCACCCTCCCATAAGCACTGCCTTGGGACAGTGGGGCTCAGGGTCCAGCTAATGATTCCTTGTGGCACTGCTCAGGGTGCTGCCATGGTGTGTGGGTGGACAAGATGATATCTGCCATCAGACCCAGTCAAAAGAGACGCAAGGAAGGGCTGGATGCCCCAATCCTCAGGTCTTCCTCTCAGGAGATCTATGAGGAGCGGGCAGAGCTCCTCCCATCCCATCCATCCCCATCTCCCTGCTGACACCCTCAAGGCTGTCCCACTTCTGGCAGCGCTCCGTTCGCAGGCCAGCGAGCCATGCAGTGACCTGGTGTCATCACAAACCATCAAAAAGTCACCTTGTAGAAAGGGCCTGGGCCAGCTCTTGTCCCAGCCCTGCAGGAAGGCGGGGGGTATCTCAGGCAGGGTTCTGGGCACAGAAACACACAGGGAGGTGTGTGCAGTCAGTCAGTCCCAGGGATTGGGGGCTGGAAACCGGTGTCCAAGCCTCAGACAGTAAAAATCACCCTTGACCATGGGAGGGCCAGCAAGTGACATGATGGTGGGATCTGCCTGAATAGAGCAGCTCTCCTGAGGCGGATACCGAAGGAGCCCAGGCAGGGACAAGTGTGTTTCCCAGCTGTATTTGCTGCTGCAGAGTCCCCAACCTGGCCCCAAGTCCCTCTCAGGCTGCCCGCTTCTCCAGCACCGCCAGCACAAGCGCCGAGCCTTGCTTCGCTTCCTCCAGCAGCCCAGAGACTTTCTGCGACATCTGTGTGGGGAGGGATGAGGTACATCATTTGTCACTCATCAGGAAAGAAGACCAGTCCACTGTCCACCCCACACACCCCACTGATGGCAAAGGGAGCAGCTGCTGCTCAGTCAAGAGGCATCCAAGGGGCTTCCACCTCTTTCACACCCCATACTTGCCACCAGGGCCAGGGCACACACATTGCCCCTGCTTACCGCAAGCTTGAACTTCTCATCCATTATGTCTTTGAGGTTGATCATGACATTGAAGTAAGCTCCAAACACAGCTGCTTCCAGCATTTTGGCTCCCACCTAGGAAAAGAGGCATGCGAGAACCTCTCCTGGTGAACCAGTGCACAGCCACACGGTCCTGCAGCAGGGCAAAACCTTACGCTGCAGGATCCCACCATCCACAACCCAGTAGCCCACAATGTTTTCCAGCCCAGTGTTTTCAGGATGGGGCTCTGGCAGTGGGAACCATTCACAGCATTGACATACAGGTGCTAAAACTCAGGAAAAGGCTGGTGAAGCTCAGCTCTCCTAAAAGGGTTGCAAGCTACCAAAAACTTAGAGGGCAGAAACCACTATCCAGTATGGGAAGCACGGCTAACGAGAGGCATCTCAGAGGTCAGGATGTGATGGGAAGTCTTTCAAGGAAAAGCAGTGAGCGTGGCAACCTCCAAAGAGCATTGACATACAGGTGCTAAAACTCAGGAAAAGGCTGGTGAAGCTCAGCTCTCCTAAAAGGGTTGCAAGCTACCAAAAACTTAGAGGGCAGAAACCACTATCCAGTATGGGAAGCACGGCTAACGAGAGGCATCTCAGAGGTCAGGATGTGATGGGAAGTCTTTCAAGGAAAAGCAGTGAGCGTGGCAACCTCCAAAGTCCCAGCCGGGGCAGCGTGTGAGCCAGGGGACGCACCTGGATGTCAGATTTGCAGGCCAGGTTGCAGTGGCGTGCCAGCTCCTTCAGAGCAGGCCAGAGCCCGCTCACCTTTTCTGCCAGGGCACAGGGCACCCTCACAGCTGTCTTCAGCCCCTCTTGCATTGCAGCCGTGCGTCTGGGAGGGGGGACAACACTGGGGTGAGTGCTGGGTGGCTGTGCTCCTCTAGTCTGAAGCTCCAGCCCAGCTCACCTCTCCTGCTCTTCAGGGCTGTTTTTTGGCAGCTTCATAGCTTCCTGCAAGCAAAGAAAAGCATATTTGTTGCCTTTTGCTCCAAGACCACCTTACACTGGGGGCCAGGGCAGACACAATAGCTCTCTCACTCCTGCTGCAGACCTCCCTTAGGTGATGATATCCCTTGCCCTGGCTTGGGCTAAGGTCACATGTCAGCCCCTCTCCCAGGTGGAAAGCGCCCCGCTTCCCCACAGGACATCTCCTGCCGGTGGGACCTCACCATGTAGCTGCTGAAGGCGCGTGAGTCGGCGTCCACCATCGCCAGCAGCTCGTCCATGGCCTGGTGGAAGGGGGGGATCAACTTCCTCATGACGGGGTCCAGCTCCTCAAACTGCCTCTTCCCGTAGCTCATCAGCCCCACCATGCAGCCCAGTGCTGCTCCCTGTGAGGGCACGGGGGTAAATCCTCCAGCAGAGCACAGCCACCACCATGCCAGCTTTCCTTGTGGGCTCAGCACACCCAGGGGACCCCCTAGACAGACAGGGACCCCATCCCGATGTTCGGCACATACCAGAGCACCCGCAGCTGCAGACACAGAGGCTCCTCCTGGTGTCCCACCGACTGCTCGCACGAAAGCCCCCAGCGGCTTGGCCACCAGCCCCTTGTCCACCTCTCCTGCCTGCACCAGATACCTGCAGAATAGCGGCCCCGTGGGTCAGAGCCCCCCAGGTGCCGAGACATCCAATACCCAGTGTATTCTCACCCAACACTGCCCTCTCCAGCAGCTTTTCACCCACCCCTTGACTCTGCATCTGGCTGAGAAGGGGGCCAACCCAAAAAACCCATCAGGTGGGTTAGAGGACAAGGAACCCCTATGGGGACAGACGGACAGCGAGGGAGCTCACGTCCTGGTGGTATGTGAGGTTGCTCTGCATTAGACAGGGTGGGCTCACACAAACAGCATTTGGTGGGACAGGAACACACTTTGTAGCATGGCATCTCTCCTATGAGCACAGCATGTGAGCCACTGACAGTGAAATTGGGGATGGGGGTGGAGGATTTAACACATACGTGCTCAAGTTTGGCCACAAAACCTGCTCCTGCTGCCTGCCTGAGTGACCCGGAGTACCCCCACCCCATATTCACAACCATCTGTATTTGGGAGCAAGGACCACCCCACGCCTCCACAACACTCAGAAGAGAAGTAGCTTGTGGTGAAGAGGAGCTGGGTGCAGATGCCACTCCCAAAACCAAGCTGAGCACAAGATGCAGACAGCGGGATCCCCCCCATCTGGGCAGCGACGGGCACCCTGATGAGACGCATGATGGGGATCTTTACTCGATGATGCGCTCCCGGGGGTGAAATGGAGACAGAGAGTCCAGGCCCAGCCGGTTGACCACCTGCAAGGAGCAGCAGCACCACCAGTCAGGACTGTCATAACAACTCCCATTGCATCCTCATTCCTTGCTGTTCACTCACCACGGGTGATGCAGCCCTAGGGCAGAGTTACTTGGGCCACCACCCAGGGAAAGGACAGCTGGCGTCACCAGTCTGTCCCATCCCAGGCCTGGTGGCGGTGTGCAGCCACCTACAAAGGACTGGAAACTGCACTAATAAATAATTTGCTTGTTCTTATCTAGCACGTTCCTCAGAGGGTGGAAAAGTCCCTCCCTCCTGCAGCTGAAAAGCAGAGCCCATCTTGTCTCGTTTCCAGCTTATGCCAGTCCTGGGGCAGTTTCCCCTAATGGCACACAATGTCCTTGAGTTCTGGGGAGGTGTCCTTCCCCTCTTGTCCTCCACGCAGGCAAGCTGGGCAGTTGCTGTCTGTGCTCTCTCCTCACAGGATGGATCTCCGCTCCCTGATCATCTCAGCACCCTCAGGATAATAACGCAACTCGTCTCACTCACTGTGTCCTCACAGCTTGCCAGGCACCAACACTAGAGACAAGTGTCATGCCTGGGGGCTGCCATGGTCCCAAATCACTGCTCAGTGCCACTTCGGGAGGTGAGCAGGGAGGGATAGCGCTGTGTTTTTATCATGATCCCACCCTTGTCTTGGTACCAAGAGGAGCCACGTTACCAGCCTGATCTTCTGTTCCTCCTCCAGGATGAAGAGTTTTTCCTTCTTGATGTAAAACTCAGCTGCGTCTAGTATGGCCTTCTTGGGGACAAGACCCACCAGCTGGGACCCTACCACAGGGAGGTTCAGTGCCTGCAAAGGACATCAGAAATGCAGCTGTTCCCAGAGCCACTTGCCCTGCTGCCACTCCCACCCACCGTTTCCAAGACCCCCTGCCCCCCCTGCCACTCCCACCCCAGTCTGGCAGTCCTCATCCCTTCTCAGGACCTGGGGAGCTCATGAAAAAGCCCTCAGTGGAGTTTCTGGGGGCTAGCAGCAAGTTGCTGAGCTTTAGGGGTTTCATGCCATTCAACACTCTACCCAGCCTGGCTGAGTTGAGCATGAGATAAAGCAGACCCTGACCAGGGGATGGGGAGAAAAACTTAGAGGGAGACAACTTCTGCAAAACTGCCACTGAACCAAGCACGGTGTGCCATCCTGCACCCCCCACCTCCGCATCTCGGCAGACTTCCTCGTAGATGGTGTGTAGCGGCGTGGTCTCAAAGTCCAGCAGGTTCGTCGAAACCTGGGCCATATTCTCTTCCTCCAAATACCAGCCGATGCCCTGCACCTTCTTCAAGCGCCCAGGCTGCCAAGAACTGACGTGGTCAAGGCCTAGCCCAGTAGGCATGGGGGCAAGGAGGTCTCCTCCCTGCGTGCTGCCAGCACAAGGCTACCTGGTCGGCGCCGCGACCCTGCTCGCGGAGGTTGAGGGCGATGCGGTGAGCCAGCTCCTTGGTGCACAGCAGGTTGATGTTGTACGCAATTAGGAAGGTCCGGGCGCCCGTCACTGTGGCCCCCCACCGGGGGACAAAGGTTTGAGGCCCAAAATCAGGAGCCCACTCTGGTTTTGCAAGCTGGGGAGAAAGGAGGAGAGCGCATAGGCTGGCACAGTGGAATGGCACAAGCCACACTCCTGAGGATGGCATTTCCCTCCCCAGATGGCATCTACCATGACCACCACCAGCACTCAAAACATTTAATCAGCTCCTCTCAGTGTGAAGGGACTATGCTGGCCTCCAGCATCCTCACTGAAGCTGGTGAGATGTGGCTTGGCTCTGCCCAGCCCATGCCACCCATCCAGGTGCTGCTACGCTCACCTTCTCAGGGAGCGCCTCGTACTCCCCTGCACGGATGGCAGGCAGGGCTTTCCTTCTCTTGTCCTGCGCTGCTTCTCCGTACAGGTAAACTGCAAGACAGGGCTGCAGATGAGCAGTGCTGAGGAGGGGCTGGCAGCACATCGTCTAGTAGGGTCCAGTTTTGCCCATGTGGCATTAAACCCCATTTGCTTTAGCTTTTGCCAAAGGTGTCCAGTTTCTGCACAGCTGGAAGCGTGCAGGGTTGGACAGGAGGGGCAGATGTTTCTGGCCTCCACTCACCAGGCACCCCCAGCTCTGCTGCCAGGCGCTGCCCGAAGATGCGGGCGCAGGTGACACACTCCTCCATGCTGACATTCCTCACCGGCACGAAGGGGCAGACGTCCAGGGCCCCCATGCGAGGGTGTTCGCCTGGTGACAGGGCAGACATGAGGATTAGAGCTGGGAAGAGCAATTGGACAAGGAGGGAGGACAGCCCTTTCCAGCCTCTTTTGCAGACTGGGCATTGAGGAAATTTGAGTTTGCAGCAGTGATATCTACTCCAGCCCAAACACAGGAGGGATTCAACCTCTCCAGATCCTGAGTACGAGCAAGAGCTTTGCACAATCCTACCACCATCCATCCCAGCAGTGCTGCTTGCTGCACGCACAGTTACATGCCACGTTTGGTCACGGGCAGCTGATTTTAGCTCCAGCCACGCAAGGTGCACCCAGAGACAACCAAGCATCGCCACCAAACGATGCTCCTGCACCACCCCCCAAGCTCACCCTTGTGCCGGCTCATGTCAATGAGCTGCCCGGCCACATGGGCTGCATTCAGTGCCCCTTTAACCACAGCCTCAGGGGATCCCACGAAGGTGTAGACAGTGCGGTTGGTGGAGGCACCAGCATCGACATCCAGCAGCGTGCAGCCCGGTGTCTGAGAGATGGCGTGTGCTAGTGCATCGATTACCTGTCAGACAGAGGATTCAGGCAAGGTGACTCAGCCATCTGGACCTCCATTACAGCTCAGCTTCACAGGATGGGGGACATCTTTTCTCCACTCTCCCCCTTCCCACCAGCACTGGGGTTGGAGATGATCCCATGATCAGTGGGGATGCAGACCCTGCTCCACAGAGGATGAAGGATCCAAAGACACAAGCATCCCACTCCTACCCAGGGGGCCTGGGACATCCCTGGCTCCCAGTGAGCCCCAAACCCACCATGGTGGGGGAGAAACACTTAGCTGCTGCTGCACATCAGAGAACAGCACCACAAATTGCTGTTTCTGAGCATACTCTTCTGCTAGCTTCAAAAAGCATTTGGCTCTGCAAAGCCTATTCCCTGGGGCAAGTGGCTTTATTGCAATTTTTGGCTTGCTACGCCTGGCAGGGCCAAAGTTCAGTCTAGGGCTGATGTCTAGCACAGATTCCATTAACCTGAATGGCATGTTTTGGCACAACTGCAAGTGATATTTCTCTAAGGGGATATGCCAGACCATCCCAAGCCCTGGTGCTACAGATCTGCAGGCAGTGAGGAGTGGGAGGATCTGAGCCCCCACTTCTCACTGAGGTACCAAAAGAGAGCAGAGAGTGCTAACTTTGTGTATTTTCAGTATTAGTCAGGCAGGAAAAGCTGCACAGCACTTCAAAGTAGGCAGGGCAGAGTCTGGCAGCAGGTGCGCCCTGCATGACCCTTCCGCCGTCCGCACCCTGGCATTGCCCACCCGTCAGCCCCTCAAAATTCTCCCTCACCTCCTTGTTATTCCCTTCCGAGAAGTTGGGGACGCACTCCACCAGCTTGGCCATGGTCTCAGGGTCTGCCTGCACCCTGTGGTCCTGCACTCAGCTTCTTGCGCCCTGTGGGTTCGCCTGCCCTTTACTGTCCCTCTGCAGAGCAAAAGCTGCCCTGCACCCAACCCGTTGTCTCTTCCCTGAGCCAGGGTTTCTCATTAACTGCATCGATCAGTGGCCAGAAGACAGAAAGGGTCTTGGACAAACAATGCGGTACTGCACTTTCCGTGCCTGGATGAGCTCTGGGCAGAAGGGCACTGCCTGCTTGAGTGTTCAACTCCGATTAGCAGCCAGCACCAATTAATTGCTAGAAGCCAATGCCACATGAAGGAAATCAGCTGCTGTACCCATCAGAGCTGTGTATGCTGCTCCTTCCCAAGGCGCAGCAACAGGACCACCAGCACTGCTCCTCGGTGGTGGCTTTTCTCAGGAACACCA